GGGAGCCCGATGTGGGACTCGATCCCAGGACCCTGGGATCATGACCTGAGCCGAAGGCAGACGCTTAACGACTGAGCCACCCAGGCGCCCCACTTTTAGTTTTCTATTCTGTTACTTGCAGTCCAAATTGGCAGATTACCTGATAGGATTGTTGAAGGGATTTCAATGAGATAGGGGATATAAAGTACCACTAACTAGCGCCTGGCACAATTAACAGTAGCCAATCAGACTGAGATACATGCCCTGAGACTATTCCAGGGAAGGCAGACCCTCCTGGCCTGGCGAATTATTTCCCTCTCTCTCCTGCTAAGAAAAGCCTGGAGATTTTTCCAAGAAAGCAGAAACCCAGTGGTGGCCCAGGACCACAATCCTGCTGCTTGGACGGGGCTGACCCCAGCTTCCAAGCAAGAATCATCACACTGCCTTTTGCCTAATGGATTTTGATTTTCACTCCCCTGACGGTGAAGGCTAGAGCCTGTACTTTGGTTTGTCTCCGTGTTGCCAGAACATCCCATCAATTATTAACAGCGTCAGCTCGGTCTCCCAGTACTGCTATCAGAAGGAAAGAGTTTGTTGCAACTCAGCCCACCCAGTCATAGAGAAAGGACTCTGCTCCTATTTATAGCAACGAGCCCCACCTACTCCCATGTGCTAGGCACCGCGCTAAATCTTCACAAACATGATTTCATGATGACCCTGCAAGAAGGGCCTTGCATCTCCATCTTATAGGTGGAAGGCGAAGGCTTGCAGAGGTGAAGAACCCGCCTGAGGCCAGAAACTGGGGAGGTGGTGGGACTGGGCCTGGGACCCTGGTCTGTCCTTGCTCTAAACATAGGAGATATGCTTGTTCCTGCATCTCACGACCACGGAGAAATGATCCTCCCTTTGACCATCTCATTCTGTGGCCTCTGAGAAATTTCCATAGGCTTTGCTGCTCTGATAAGCAAGGCATCTAACCTGGGGGATGGATGGGGTGGGGTGGGCAAAGTACACGTGGCTGAAGGAGGCCAGGAAGCTGGGCTGCAGGCAGGCAGTGAGGAACAAGAGACAGAGCCCCAAAACCCGAGACACACTGACTGACTGCTTGATTCATTCATTCAGTCCACATGTAGTTATTTGGAGCTCCTCTGGGCCAGCCACCTTGACGGGTGCTGGGAACAGAGCTGTGACTGTAACTCATGGAGCTCGCACTCTGGAGGGTGAGAAAGAAAAGGAAGCAAATAAAATTTCAGGTGGTGCTCAAAGCCTAGGCAGGAAAGACATTGAGTGTGGTTGCAGAGAGTAAGGGGAAGGAGAACGTTTTAGACAGGGGTCGGGAAAGTCTCTCGGAGGGGTTATTTGAGCAGGGACTTGCTCAAATGAGGAATGAGGAGAAGCAGCTGGAATGGGACACGGCGGGGCAAAGCATTCCAGGTGGCAGGAATAGCAAGTGTAAAAGTCCTGGGGCAGGCTTTAGCCTGCCCTGGGTAGGGAACAGCAAGGAAGCCAGTGGACTGGAGCCCAGTGAACCAGAGGAGAGTTGAATAGATGAACTCAGAGAGAGGACATGGGGACCGATTCGGTAGGGTCTGATATGCCATGGTGGAAGGTTTGGATTTTATTCTGAGTGTGGTGGGAAACCTCTGGAGGATTTTAAGCAGATGAATAATGTGATCCAGTCTCTAATTTGAAAAGCTCCCTCTGGCTGCTGTGTGGGCAATGGATTTGCAGGGGGCAAAAGTGGAAGCAGGGAGACTGGGGAGAAGTCTGTGGCACTTAATCACTATGGAAAGAACAACATCTTCAAAATCACACTTGGGTTTGAATTTCTGGCTACTCTTGTTTGCCTGCTGTGTGACCTTAGGCAAGTTACTCAACCACTCCGAACCTCCCGATTTGTGAAAGGCGGGATAATAACAGAGAGCTGGTATGAGGACCAGTTGTGTTGTTACATTTCATACACAGTGAATGTTTGATCAATGGTCAGGATTTCTATACTGAGGGACCAACGATCATGCTTGCCTGTGAGCCTCCCCATTTCAGCTCTGGCTGCAGAATGTCCTAGACCGTCCATTTGCCAGGAATGTGAACTGACAGCCTGAGCCTGGGATCACGGAGAGGTCATGAAGCTTGTCCCTGTGAGCGGATTAACCCGAGGGCAAGATGAGGCTGTTTATTCCCAAACAGTGCCTTTTGCAAGCCTGAGCTTCCTCCACTGTCTTGCTGCCAGACGCCAACCCAAACACAGCCCTTTGCCGGCTTCTTCCCTGGGAGGGTGACTCGACCCTCCTTGGCCCCTCATTCTCATGTCTTAGGGACAGGACAGGGACAGGGAAGAGTCATGTTTGGGCCTAACCAGGGTGTGTGTAGGAGGAACCCGTGTCAGGCCTGGAAATAGCAAAATAAGTCTGCTGATCCTAAGCCGGTTAAGGGTGAGTGACTGTCTTAAGAAGGAAGGTTTCTGGACACGAAACCTAGGGCAGGATTATGGTCAGAGGCAGCCCACAGAAGAGAAAACCAGGCCTAGAAATCTCTGCATGCTCTTTGGGGTTGCCAGGGAAGAGAGAAAACGTTCAGGCCTCCCTCCACCTTCCTCCCAGCCACCCCCTCCTGCATCTACTCTCAGAGGCCTTTCCCCAAGCCACCAGATCTGGGGAAAGGACCCCACAGTGTCCCCTTCAGACCCAGCCTTGCAGGTGGACCTTCAGTGAAGGGCCAACTAAGCCAGGGGGATCCCACAAGGAGAGGCCAGGCGGGGCACAAGGCAGCCCGAGCACATACATGATGCTTCCTCCTGCCTTTTTCCTTTTGCCGCAAACACATTTACCTACCTGCCCCCCCCTCCTGGCCCCACTCTTTGAGAGTGTTCTGCATGTCTTTCCCAGCGTGGTAGTCCTGGATTTCGACATCAACACTTCTTATTTCTGGCTCCCCCTGGGCCTCACACAACCTCTTCTAGAGCGCTGAACACACTGTGTTGTCATTTACTCCCGACACCCAGCACGTTGGCCACCTGAAGACAGGCCCCATCTCTCCAAGGCATTCCTGGAACCCAGCCCAACACAAAGAAGCAGCTCATCAGCACTGACCCCCTTCCCTGGCCTGGCCCCCCACCCCAAGTCTGTCTCAGGCCAGCATACCCTCTGCCTTTACCCAGCAGCACACTGGTCCACTTGGTGTGATCTAAGCCTTTCCGCCTCCTTCTGCTTCATTTTTCACATTGCCTCATTTTTCTCTCTTATTTCAAAATTCACATCCTCTTCCGACAGCCAAAGCATCTTTACAAGCTGCACCAAATCATTCTTGGAATAAACTCACCAAATAAATAAAGAACAAACCAGGGGTGACCCCTTGCCCACAAGCATCCACAGGCAGCTGCGTGCGTCATGCATGCACACACCTACCCCTCAGAGTCCCTGTGCCTCATTTTTCTTACTTATGTTAAAACTGCCTGACAGTATCTCAATGTCCTCCAAGCACATCTGTAAGCTGCTTTCATTCCTTCCTTGGGGCAAAGTGGGGTTATAAATACAGGGATAAGTATTAGAATAGCAGGTGACCCCCCCCCCTTCCGCCTGGGTCTAGGACTCCACGAGGGAGCATTATGTATATAGACCAAACTCAACTCCATCCCAGCAAGGCTTTATCGTCCCTCTGTGCCTTCTTATTTACAGTGTCCACCCTCTTGCTGTGGGAGTTTACATCTCCGCAAATCCTCTTCTCCAACAGAGTCGAGGTATAAAGTATTGAATGATCAAGGGATGAGGTAACCAATGCAAACAGTAACAGTCGAAAGGTGTTGGTGCTCACCTCTGAGGTCTGGGCCACAGCCCCTCCCCCTTCCTGGTCTTCTTTGGGAAAGAAGCCAGAGACTCCCCCAGCGGTGGTCCTCCAGCCGGGGACCCAGGCAGAGCCCCCAGTGCAATTGCCCGCAGATCCCAGACTCACCTTGGCAGCCACGGAAGAATTGGGCTTCTCCAGGAGGTCCCAGAGCTTTTTCCTCTTCTCTGCGCAGCACGTGTTATCGAACTCCTCCCCCTCTCGCTCCCGCAGGGTCTCGGCCTCCCGCTTGAGCTCCTCGTTCATCTGCTCCTTCTTCTGGTGGTAACGGGCTTGGCAGCAGGACTCCAGGTAGATTTCGTCGATGCCCCAGTAGTCAAGCTCTTGGCTGAAGCTCAGCGCGCACATCTCCTCCATCATGTGCAGCCGCCCAGTGCGGTAGAAGTTGAGGATGGAGGTGAAGGCGCCTGGATGGCGGTCGAAGAAGTACTCGTTGTCGTCGAGGCTGTAGTCATCACACACCTCGAGCAGCGAGTCGTGCGTGTTGCAGTCGCGTAGCTTGCCCAGCCGCGTGCGGGGCAGGCGGTCCAGGGTGCGCCAGAGAACCTCGTGTGCCAGACCGCCGACGTTGAGGCGGACGCGCCTCGAGCACGCCTTGCTACGTACGATCTCCATGGGCTCGGGCGGCAGCGAGCTGGTGGAGCGGGAGCCATGCTTCGTCATGCCCGCCGGCATCGCTGGTCCGGCCGCCCCCGCCCCCCCTGCCCCCCCAGGCCGCTGTCACTGGACGGCAAGGCCGGCCGCTGCGGGGGAGGGGGGCAGGGAGCGCTGTGGGCTGCTGGGGGTGCAGGGGACCGCGCGGGCGCGCGTCACGGCCGGCTTCTCACCTCCATCCCGACCGCTGAAAGGCAGGAAGCGGACGCGGGTCAGCAAACAGGGAGCTGGGAGCGGCCCCTCCCCACCTCCCCACCCGGGCCCCAACCGGCCTTGACCTTCCTAGTGCTTAAGCGGCTCAGGACTGGGGGGCGGGGGGCGGGGGGCGGGGGTGGCTGAACGGCTTGGCGCTGTCCCTCCCGCCAGTGCTGAAGTCCGCCCCATCTCATGGGTGGAGGGAGGAGCGACTCTTCGGGGCGGGAAGAGGGCCCCCAAGAGGCGCTTCGGGGATCCGGGAGGCCCCACCCCGGGTTTCTGCCGCCCAGGCCAGACCCAGCCGCCCGGGGCGCTGTCCTCCTCTTCGAGTGCTGAAACTCGCTTCTTTCTGGGTCTCCCCGTCGAGTCCCGAACCAGCCCCACAATGGGCAAAAGGGGCGCTGCATGAAAAACTTTTTTTTTTTTCAGATTTCTCATCTTTTCCTTCCCCCTGCTCCGAAATAATTAGAATTTGAGCTCTAGGGGGTGGCAGTGGGTTGGCTTTTTCTAAACCTTAAAAGACTTGGGGAGAATTCTGGGGGGATTTCAGCTGCCCACCTGTCGGAGGTCATAACTGACGGGGTGGTCAAAGACAGCCTCGCTGTTCCGGAGCGACCCCTCTCCCTAAAGCACGGGAGCATCTCTTGAGGTCGCTCCGGTAACTAAGTGAGCCCTGAAAGACGCAAAGCCAAGATCTGTGCGGAGTCCTACCCCTCCCCCTGTGACCCCTACCCCACCGCAGGAGGGGCGCGCAGAGTCCTGCGGATCCACCTTCTCCATCCTTCCTTCTCTCCTTCCCCGCCCCCCCCCCTCGCTCCTCTCCTGCGATGGCTTTTTATAACTCCGGGTTCTGCGCCTTTCCCGGGTTTTGGAAGGGAAGGGGTGGGGAAGGTGGGAGGCGGGGAAAGGAGCTGAATTTTCTGGCCTTTTCAAAACGTGCCCTCCTCCCGCCGCGCGCTGGTGATTTCGGGGGCTGCCCTGAGCCCCCCACATGTGATCCTGACGCCCTCTCCCCTCGCGCCTCCCCAGGCCCCAACCCTTGCCCGAAGAACCCCCCCATAACATCCCCCCGGCCTGAAGCCGCGGAGCCCGGGTAGACCAACAGGCCGAACCGCGGCAGGCGAGCCCCCTTCCTCTGTCCCCCTGTGTCCCCGCCGCTGGCCGCGCG